ATATGAATTTGAATTGCGAAAATGTTAGGACAGTATGTAAAATGCACAAAAAACAGAAAGTAGTGAATAGTAAATCTATTTTGACCTGTGCTAAAAAACAGTACAAAGCTGAGATGTGTAATGTTTTACCTTATCAACTTCATTGTTTCATTGTAATTATACAATTATGAAATATACTGAATTCTAAAATTAATGCCTGCAGCATGTTCCAGTAAAGTTGGGACATGGGCAATTTAAAACTAGGAACATTGTGAAATCTTAACCAAAAACATGGTGATGCAATCATGTTTAGATATAAAAGGAGTATCACAGAAAGGCATAGTCCTTTATGCGCAGTGATATGTCAAGGCTCATCACTTTGCCAAAAAATGTGTCAGCAAGTGAAGAAAAACATTCCTCAATGAGCATTGCAATGATTTTAGGTATTTCACCCTCTTTAGTGCAAAAAATCAAGGTGTGAAATACAGGGGCTTCTAGGGGATCCAGGACCTCCTAATTAATCTCCTGGACCCCCTGTCTCAAAATCAAAATTCTAGGGTGTCCCTGAAAATAAACTTATTATGATGTCATGCCGTCCATCAGGGAAGAACAGATGCTCAAACACAAATTCAGGGACAGCTCATTGTTTAGCTGCTTAACCCACAAAAATGGCAGAATTCTGTCTTTGGAATTCTTAACTAACTAGAGCTGCAGCACTGGTCTGCCACAGGGTGGTGCTGTAGCAGACTGGCTCATCCAATTGGTCCTTTGTAGCCTAGCGACTGTAACTATGCCCTGGATACATCGGAAAAACTTTACAATTTTCTGCAGAATATTTGTAAATCTGAAAACTTGCCCAATTTCCCAAAGATATCACAACATGCGCTTGGGAATACTTTGACAAACCATTGTCAATGAAAACCATTTGCTGCTGCATCCACAAATGCAAGTTAAGACTGTTCAATGCACAGTGGAAGTCATATGTCAACAACGTCCAGAAATGCTGCTGTCTTCTCTGGACTTCTATGGAGTTCATCTGCAATCACCTGATGCACAGCAGAAGCATGAATTGTGGTCTGATGAGTTAAACTTCCAGATTCTTTATAGACATAATGGAAACTGTATTCCTCAAAGAAGAAAAGGATCATCCAGATTGTTTCCAGTATAAAGTTTAAAGGTCAGGATCTGTCATGTTATCTTAGTACTAGTGCCCATGGCTATCGATAACTTGCAAAATTTATGAAGACACCATTAAGACTGAAAGATATATAGACATTTTAGAGCAACAAATGCTGCCTTCCAGACAACATCTTTTTCAGCATGACATAATCAGAGCATGCAGGTGCTAGACTGGCCTGATTGCAGTTCAGACCTGTCTCCCATTGAAAACACATGGCAGATTATGCAACACAAAATATAACACTGAATGCCCTGTACGGTTGCCCTGTAAGGCAGACTTGTATAACGGAAGTATAGCAAAACACGGTGCTTTCTACACTGGATCAGTTTTCAATATAATACAGTTCAAACTAAATTTACTAATCATTGTTTTCACTGTACCAATTGTTTTTTGGAATGGAGGTTTGTAACTTGGGCAGTTGCTGATTTTCATGATTAAATTAAAATTCATGATTAAATGAAATTTGAAGAATGACAATAAAGACCACTTGACTTAAAAGTATAACCATTAATCTCTAACCACACAGGTCTTAGAATGACAAATAGTGCTCGCTCTTCAAAACTTGCCCCATCTTGTCCCAAATTACAGATTTACAGCTTTCATTTTTTTTGCATGCATTTTCTTGCAAGTTTTACATAAATATTTGCAGACAAAACTCAGCAACTGTCCAAGGCCTTCTATTATTAGTATTTTTTTAGTAAACGGAACATTTACTTGAACCATACACTGCAGATGCAACAAATAAGCTTAAATATGCGAGATTTCTTTTACTATTGTTTTTAACAAGGGACTTCAGCACTGATAATATGAAACACTTTGTTATTCTCAGTTTTACTGTATGAAACATATACAGGCTTTCATGAGTCACTGAGCACAGCTTGATAATGTCAACTCTATATTCTAACAAGCCACTGAGAAAAACAACAACAAAAACACAGAATTGTATCTAAATTGTGAACCGTTCCTTGATCACTTCTCAGTCTGAAGTCCTCTGTTTTGTTGAATTACACTCCTTGACATTTAGACTTTCACATGTGTAAAACTACTTTGCCTTTCAGTCTTTCCATTGTCTTCATGGAAAGACTGAGCACCGATCATGACATGTGTGCTTGATTTGTGTTTTCCTAGGGGCTGCAATTTGTTCTTTTGTTTGTTGAGGATTTGCTTTATTGGAACCAGTGGAACACACGCTAAACTCCCTCACAGAACTCACAGAGACTTCCAGCGTCTTCCTTCTTCGTACAGACCTCAAGGTCTTTTGCTTTGTGAGATGTTTTTTTGGTGAAACATGAGATTTGTGCTGTATTGTGGGTCCAGTAAACTCTGAGAAATACTGCACAGAGTGTAAGACATTTTGTCTGATCAGTGATTAAAGGAATCACAGCTTTAAATGGAAACATCTGCTTGCGAGCATTAATGCTGAATGTATGGATGGGTTTGTTTATATCAATCTGTTATGCACAAACAGGATCATATGCAGTGATGACATTGCTGAATGTTGTCATGTGAAAATGACAGTGATGGTTCCCCTGTATGCTCTGAAACAGGACACTATTAAAATAAAGGGGCTAGATATAAGGTTCCTTGGAGAGATGCCATGTAGAAAACCCTTTAAAAAATATGGTTCTTCAAGAGTTCCAAACTCTCCATCAGATTCTATGCACTGTCATTAGCTAATCAGCAGGGCAAGAAATACTGGCTCAGTTTGGCAGAATTGTTTTAAACCGAGGTTTAGTAAACATAGCTAACGTAACATAGCCTGCTAATACAGCTTAGGTGCTCATTTTAATGCATTTGAGAAAAATCATCCTGAAAAATTACATGATAAGGGGACATAAATCATGTTTATTTAAGACAAAGACTAGTTTTGGTGGCTATACCCAAAGGAGTTTACACTTGTGTGCTATAGTATTTTCACATTACTTCATTTGATTTTACCCATTTGGTTTATAACTTCTGTATGTATTTTGAATATCTTGATTGTTATGATCTTTCAGCTCTTTGACTACGTCTGTATATGTATATGGCCGGGAATCGAACCTAGGCCATTCTTGCTGTGAGGCGACAGCGCTACCCACTGCACCACCATGCCACTCCAAGAAAAAAAAGCAATGGAATTTTATTTTTTGTATTTTTTTATTTGTTCGGGGCAATAATAAAAACAATCAGTGTTTTTTCTTCGTTTTTTTGACCCCACAATTTTTAAAATATTCACATCTACCAAATGGTCGAGATGGCACTTTGTGGCATATATAGTGACTCAAAATGTGCTCTACCAAATGGTTGAGCAGAACATTAAAGGGTTAAAGAACCTTTTAAAATGGTTCTGTACAGCACCAAGAAAATGTGCTAATATTACAAGTCATAGAATTTTTCTTGGTGCTATAAAGAACTTTTGGTAACACTTTCTATGAATGTCACCTTTGTAAGCATCTGTAAACACATACATAACATGCTATAATGCATTCATAGGACATTATAAACATAACTATAAATATTTATCAAAATGCACTATACTTTATAGCCATGTTTATTATGCATTATGAATTGTTAACATAATACATTATAAGTATTGATCATAACAAATTATAAGAGCTCATAAGTCGTATTTGTCTGCTCTAAGTAAAGTGAAGCATACTGTACTAAAGCCTCCTCCAGTGTTAAGAGTGAGGCTTCAAGTTGAAGTATTTACTGAAGGATTTACTGAAACACTAAAACATACACAATAAAGCACATTATGGGCTTCAAATGTCAGAGTTTAAAATAGTGCTGCCATCAGTGTTTTACCCAATGTGGGAAAGGTAATGTACACCACCGTTAGCTTGGTATTTGTCTTTACTTTACACTCTCCAAGCTGGGACTGACTTCTTTGGCACTGACATTATAACATGTTATTAACACTATTTATAATGCATTATATTAACAATTCATAATGTATAATAAACATGGCTATAAAGTGTAATTCAGTGTAATTCTTTTTTATAAATATTTATAACAATGTTTATAATGCCTTATGAATACATTATAACATGTTATAAATGTGTTTATAGATGCTTACAAAGGCAACATTCATAGAAAGTGTTACCAAACTTTTTTTGCTAAAAGTGTTGAAGAACCATCAAAAGAACCTCTCAATGGTTGGAACCACTGAAAGAGCCATTTAAAAACCTTTATTTATAAGAGTGTATCTTTGAAGAGCATTTTACTGACAGCAGATCCTTAGCTTTGATTTGGTTGGACACTTAAAGCGAAGCACTTTGTTGCTAAGATGTAGGTAGATAATAAAGGCCTACTGATAACTTAAGAAAACATGGATTTTTTTACTCCAATATATTCCAAATATTCAACACTTAGATAGATTCACAAACTCATGCACAATTTTAAACCTGCACATATTTTAATATAACATTAAACAACCTACAACACATTCATGTTAATGAACTCGAACTTGGACAAGTGACAATGAGAAAGCATTACTTAAGCAAGAACAGTGATGTGGACATGGCTGACTGTATCTTATTGATAGTGACAACATGCTAAAGCACTGACACTTATGAACTCATTTAACTTTAAACTTTCAACACATGTGGACATTCGCTGCTTTGTTTTCACTTCAGTCTCAAATAAGCTTTGTTAGAATCACTATACAAAAATATGGATTACAACCAGTTAGCATGACATGTGATGAATGACTAGCCAAGCATCAGCATGTTATTTTTCTCATATCATTCTGGCTTCAAATTAAAAGTACTGTTTATGAATTCTCTTTTCTTCCCATTCACAATTAAAAACTTAATTTTTTTTGGATTTAGCCAGAGAAAAGGATAAAATGTGTCTGCTTTCACAAGGTGGTGGTACGCGAGGTACATGTTCCATTGCGAAACACCATATCAGAGGCTAAGCATTCCTTAGGAAAGTCCTGTGGCCCACATGTCGTCTGCCGCCTTAGGGCCACAGCATAGTAGTCCACCTGCTCTGCATCCAGCCCATTCTCCAACCAGCGAAAGCAGACAATTCGCTGGAAGGACCGCCGAAAGTTGTCAGACACAAATCCATATAGGATAGGATTAGCTCCGCTGTTAGCATAGCTTAGAATGACAAACAGCTGAGTCACCATGGGGTCGGGCGGCTGGCGGAACACGCTAATCAGCTGCACGATGTAGAAGGGCATCCAGCAAAGGACAAAAACTGCAACCACAAGCAACACCATGCGGGTGATCTTCTTCTCGGAACGCCGGCGCTGCATCCAGCCGGCCTTTAGCCCTACCGCTCGCATTCGCACCACGATCAGGCAGTAGCAAAGGCAGATAGCTGCCACAGGCAGCAAGAAGCCCAGCAAGAATGTGTAGACCACAAACGCCTCTGACCATGAGGCCTCAGGCCACAGGAAGTTGCAGTCTACTCCTCCATCCTCTGCTGGGACTGTGTCAGCGAAGATAATGATGGGCAATATGACGAGAAGCGATAGTCCCCACACGCAAACGTTGACCACTTTAGCAACGGTAGGCCGACGGTAACGGGCAGCCTTGATTGGATGCACCACCGCAATATACCGGTCCACACTCAGCACCGTCAAGCAAAAGATGCTGGTGAACATGTTGATGCCGTCCACGCTGAGGACCAGCCGACACATCAGCGATCCAAACGGCCAGTGGCGCACTGCGGCTGATGTAGCCAGGAATGGAACGCTCAGCATGAAGAGTTCGTCAGCAATAGCAAGGTTCAAAATGTAAATGTTAGTGGCTGTTTTCATCTTGGCATATTTAAGGATGACGTATATGACCATGGCATTGCCTATGATGCCCACGCAGCAGACTAGGGCATAGATGGAGGGGATGATGATCTTGCTAGCATCAGACTCTGGCTCAAAATCCTCATAATCAGCAGTGGAGTTGAAGGGAATGCCTGTTGAGAACAGAGTGTCTTCAGTGCCATTATATCCTGATAGTTCTGCCATTTTGTGCTTTTTTATTTGCCCAAGCCTTGTTCGATATACATTCCTATTAAAAAGCACAAATGTTTTGTCTCAAAGCTGACACAGCTCTCGAGGAGGAGAAGTTATAATGTGATGATTGTTTATTTTATCTCTTTATACACCAGATGTGTCCTTAGGTGGGCAAAGTTAAAGCAACAGCTGAGTCCTTGGGGTTTGCTCCACGGCCCACTTGAAAGGGTCTCAAGAGCTCATCCAAAAATCAGCCCTGGACCTTTTTGGCAGTGCTTGCAGCAAATAGGAATTGCCTGACTAAATGGTCTCATCTGTGGAATTTCCAGCACAGACATTCCTCGTTCATTTGTAAATAAACCTATGCTCCTATAAGAGAGCGCTGCAGGTGTTTGAGGGCTAGGCTCTCTCAGAGGCTCTCAAACACTCAGACTTGGCCAGAAGAGCGCATTCCAGCTGTTAATCAGGAAACTAGGTCTGTGAATCAAAGCATTATGAGGTTACCCTCTGCACTTGACAGAGAGTTCTTGCCTTTAGAGAAGCTCCTCCAAGAGACATGTGGTCATTACTGGGTTCCGGTGTATCCGATCACTTAATAATGGGCTCTTCCGGAGTAATGGCAATTCTGTCATAGCATCCATGGATACGGGAATACCATGATTCACTTCCTATATTGTGATATTCCATAAGCTGTACCTGTAAGGCCCAAAAGGAAACAGACACTTTTAATGTCACTGTAAAAACATGCATTTTATACAGTACTGTGTAAAAGTCAGAGACCACACTTTTGTTTATTTAACTTCCAGCTAAAATGGCCATTATGTACTTATTTTTCAGTATTGGAAAAAAGCATGCCACATATAATTAACAGAAAATTACACAAAAGCCTCCCACACCAAGTATAATATGAAATATGTCAGTATTTAAACTTTTTATTCTTTCTATCCTTCTGATATTAAAACAAACATATTTCTGAGGAGACTTGATATAAGATAATCCACCTGCATAAGGTGACAACTGGACAAGACCTATTAGAGCACCAAAATGGAGCTGGTAGGCCATCAAACCTGTCACCGTCAGATAAACAGTACTTCAAGCTTGCATCTTTGAGAGAAAATCAAGCTCCACTTTTCAAATCTGAAAAAATGCAAGAACGCTGAAACCAGTCAAAGCCTAGACCTCAACATTAAAAATCAATCAACTGAAAATTTAATTGGAGCCAAAATGGTTCCTCTCTTGTGTCACTCCAAAGAACCTTTTTAGAGCCATTACTTTTAAACATCAAGACACTGAGGTAATAACGTTTATCTCTTGTATGCGCAAAAACCAGAACTGTCACAACACATACTGCATTCACAGACACAGCAATGTGACCGTGTAACACTGCAACATTGTGTGCATGTGAGAAAAAAAGACATCATCGGAGGCGAAATCTGTCTCACGTCTGTTTGTGTATCTGTCACACACTTTGCCCTTGTGTTCTCAGCCATTCCCCAGTTAAATTACGATACTCGGCGACACAGCAACACCTTTGACACCAATTTCGAAGCCTTCAAGGAGCAAACACACTGTGGAGGGGACCAGGCAGATGCTCGCTAAATAAGAATGTGATCTGAGAACGGAGATGAGAAAAGACATTACCCCACCTACTCACCCACCCCCACCCCCACCCCACACAATGGTACGGACAGTGGTTCAGCCCACAAAAATAGCAAATATGAGGTTATTAGAAACAACACAACACTAATTACATCCGTGGCTGGAATATGAATAGGTTGTATTTGCATTAGCGGCGGTGTAGGGGAGAGGGTAATCACAGCTCATTTCTAAGCTGTGCTGCTGTGAGCAGAATCTTGAGTTGAGGATCAGACGTTGTCATCGTTCCATGTGCTCTGCTTCGTCATACGTTCTTATTGTTTCTCGATGTGACAGAGAAAGCTGAAATAAGGTTTCTATGCTGTGACAGTTTGATGCGATATTGGAGAAACAGTTTAGCTCAGATTAGACAAAGGCAAGCGCTCAGTTTGTTATTACTGATGATAATCTCCTTGCTGCAAGTGTTTGACTTGTCTGTCTAAGTACCTGAGACGCTGATTACGAATTCAGACCACAAAAGGTCCAGACCATGCTGAGATATTTATTTTTAAACTTACATACATACATCATCTAAACCGCTTATCCTTCTGGGTCGCGGTGGGGTGCTGGAGCCTATCCCAGCTGTCATTGGGCAGAAGGCAGGATACACCCTGGACAGGTCGCCAGTCCATCGCAGGGCAGACAGACATACACATTCACTCACACCTAGGGGCAATTTAGTGTGTCCAATCAGCCTGACTGCATGTTTTTGGACTGTGGGAGGGGACTGGAGTACCCGGAGGAGACCCACGCAGACACGGGGAGAACAGAAATGACCCTGGTCTCCCAGCCAGGAATCGAACCCAGGCCATTCTTGCTGTGAGGCGACAGCGCTACCAACTGCGCCACCGTGCCACCCTTTATTTTTTTTAAACAATTGTGAAAAAAATTCAGCGGTAAGCAAAAAGAAATGTCATAAAGCAATCTCAATCTAAATGTTGGAACGCCAATTCAGACTCAACAGAATGAACTACAAGCTGATTTTTAGCTATGAATGTACCAACAAATTTAGTGTGACGTATTGATGCAATTTAAAGACTAAATAATGACTGAACTATTATTAATTTTCAATAAAGAACACAACTGAATTTGTTGGTATTTAGCATCATTCTTCAAGTTCCAAGTTTTTATGTGAAAATTGTTGTATATCAATTTAGAATTTCATTTCTAAGACATCACTTACACACTGTTAGAAATAAAAGTACTGTGAAGGTACATTTTTTGTTCATTAAGGTACAAACAAGATAAATGTACCTCAAAGGTACAACAGTGACTTAAAGGTCCAACTGTGAACCTTAAATAAGTTTTTCCAGGTGAAAAGTACATATTTGTACCTTTTCATAACCTAATGTTTTAAAACAGAACAATAAAATAAAAGACGTGGAGATGAGATGGGGTGTGTGGAGTCAATACAACTTAGATAATATAATTTCACTATAAACTGTAAACTAAACTATAAAATGTGCCATTATTTTTGCACAGGCCACATTCCATATTTAGTTTTTTCTTTCCCAATGTGTTAAATTCTGCAAATAAACAGTAATTGTGCATTAAAATGTGCAGATGTGTGTTCTCTATAGAGGATGTGTTTGCTTATTTTCACTTTTCACAAAATCAAGAAAATGTCATTTGATCAGCTACGCCCAAACTTTTGCACATGACTATATTTTTCTTTCTGTATTTTTCTGACTCTTATGGGTCATACAAACAATACTGTCTGAAGCAATAAATCCTACTTAACACATAAGATACTACAAAATTTCATAAATACTTAACACATAAAAAAATATGAAATTGAATAAAATGTAAATAATAAATGTAATAAAGTACAATTAAGTCAACAGAATAAGACAACTTCCTCCAGTCATTCTTAAAGGTGCAACAACCACCGCATACTACAACAAGCGAGACTCTGTCTTGAGCAGAGAGAAAAACAAAGGGTGGCTGGACACAAGCAGAGAAAAGGTAGATAGGCAGAAAGAGGAACAGGCAGGGACAAAGCAGAGGTGAGAGTGAGCGAGTGGGAGAAAGCAAGAGCTAATGGGAGGCAGAGAGTGAAAGCACAGGCCACAACTGCACCGTCTCACACATGAAACCAAAGTGAATTATGGCCCAGCAATGAGGCAATGATGAAAGCGAGAGTGGGGGAGTGAATAAAAGTGAGAATGGCTCCACAAGGAAAAGAGGAACTCCATCACTCTCCTCAGATATGAAGCAAAGTCTTGCGGATTTCATTCTCTCCCTACACCCTTTCTAAGCAGACAATGATGTCTTACTAGCAGTAGAACGCCGCACAGTGAGGGGGGAAAATAGACGTGCAAGGAAAATGGATTCAGCTTTCAAAAGGACAGAAAAGGCATATTTATGTTTTCAGGTCAACATATTCTAGAAAGTCTGAAAAGAGAAGCATCAAGCAGGTCTGAGAAAGTAACAATATTTGTTCACTTTGGGATCTGAAATGGTTGTGAGATACCCCAGGAACATTTGTTTTTTGACTCTATATGATTAAACCTTTTTTAGTTTTTCAATAGTGCAAAATAAATGGATCAGAGAATGAATACACATGCTTATTACTTGAGCTAAATCTATCTATCTATCTATCTATCTATCTATCTATCTATCTATCTATCTATCTATCTATCTATCTATCTATCTACCTACCTACCTACCTACCTACCTACCTATCTGCAAAGTGTCAGTGTAGCTACTGGTTTTCATTCCAACCAAACAAGAGCTCACCTCATATAACTAATCAACAGTCTGAAGACCAAGTCCAACTGATTAACACTTAAAAGGCCACGACTACTAGAATGGCACTAGAAATGTTTATTTAAGTGTCAGCATGATGACTTTTAATTGCATTTTAATTACTGCTTATCATTAATTTCATAACTGTGCTGGACTAGTTGGCAATGTAGATTATAATTATACAATTAACATTAACAGTTTTTCTCCATAAGAAAAGCACTGAATTTCAAATGAATTGCTTTCATATGTGAGCACAAACCATCTTCAGCACCAGATTCTCTCATAGATGCTGCCTGAGTGTTCACATTTCATCATTGTCAAGATGTAGCATTGCCATGTTGCTGCTGTTAGAACAAAACCTCATTATCTCCAAATTGGTCACTTCACAGAAGATGGAAAAATGTTCTTAACTTTGAATGGAAGTTAATATAACAAGCTTTTATTCCAAGCAATTCTGAACCACTTCTATTGGTCCATTCATCATGAAATAATCACAGAATATAAAGGGCAGCTGGTGTTTTCAAATCATGTGCAGAAATTAAAAAAGGAGATACATGGTTTTGTTCTAAAAGCAATGACATATTTGCAGCAAACCAAACCTTTATGACATATTTGTTGTTGTTTTTTTGCCATAGCCTGTGTTGTCTGATCT